AATTAGGTACAGTTCAGGATGCAGCCCTGCGATAACTTTCTCACACGCCACCGCTGGCGGACAACAGAGTGAACACTCGAGCGGTCCCTCTGCAGGCTAACTTGACCTATTTTTCCACGCTGGACAGACGTCTTGATGCACCCATTTATACCGCTGGGTGGATATAGGCGGAGGGGGGGGGGGTATTTTAGAAACTTGCGCCATTGTTTCAACTGAAACGCCGGGAGATCGAACCGGCAACAGTCCAGTGTCCTGTATGTACGTTGAACTTCTTTCGCGCCTCACGTAGCCAACCGTGCTCGCCGGAGGTATTGGTCCTAACCCATTACAACCACGGCAGAATAATAACGACGCAGAAATGGCCAAACGCAAACCACAAGGTAGTGAATGTCAGCGGAGCTAATAATAAACTAGGCAGCCACCTACCACAGCGAACAAGCAGATTTCCACTGTCGAGCAAAGACCCAGGAAGCGGCCATCTGCCAACAGTCTGCTGCGCGCGTGGCTGGAGTTGCTGGGCAGAAGAGCTGCCAGCAAAAAAGGAGTTCCATGCACTCAGCAGCCGGGCAGGACAGCTGCCAGCGTCTGTGCTGCTGCATAATGAAGGAGACACGCTACTCCAGAGGCTGCAGCCCCTTTCATCAGGCCAACAACTTCCAGGCCGATTGTGCTGTATCACAGCGCGGCGTGTGTAACTGTGCACTTTCCAGTTGACATAATTGGCGGAATTCCAGGCTGTACAGAGTAAATAAATCTCGTTTAACAAAAAACAGTACGATCCCGTGATTTCCTTTTTGCCTACAGCGGGTGCTTGGAATCCGTAAGCATTCATACCACTGTTATCTGTTGCCGAAGGATCAACTGCCCACACCTGCCACAGTTGTTTGCGATTCATTATTATCCCCAAATCTACAAAGTATCCGCTTTCATGCAAATCAAAAAATAAACTGCCCTTTTGTATCACCGCTACAGGGGGAAGGTCTCCACCCATGCCATTTCAGTCATGCGGAATTGTTTGACCACACTTCACCACGCTTGTTGGTGTAGGTTGTTGAAAAGAGGGGCCCATGAACGGGTTCAGACCCCACCCTTCCACTGACGTTGGGCGCAGCCGGGGAATCGTCCGGGTTCACAGTGCACAACTGGGCCACTGCTGCCCAGAGATCGCAAACGGGTTTTGATTCCTTACCCGTACCCGGCCGCACCAGGGTCGCAAACGGGTACCCGTACCCGGCCGTACCCGTACCCTACCCGTACCCGGCCGGGTATGTACCCGGCCGGGTACGGGTAGGGTACGGGTATCGGGTACCTGATTGCGACCTCTGGGATGAAGCCATGTTGCAGGCGCGGGTGGGTTGATTCTAGGAACTTGAATTATGAGAAGAGACAAGACGTTGGGAAATGAGTGACAAACGGTTACTCACCAGTGACTCACAATCTACCCGTACCCGGCCGCACCAGGGTCGCAAACGGGTACCCGTACCCGTACCCGGCCGGGTACGGGTAGCCGGGTATCGGGTAGGGTACGGGTATCGGGTACCCGGTTGTGACCTCTGCTGCTGCCCCTCCGGCGCATGGATTCCTTGGAGGTGAATGGTATTCTCCTGGATGGCTTGATCATAATAATTGCTTGAAGTACATTTACATGTGTGTATATTAATCAGACTTTCTTTTTTTTATTACTCCCCCCACATATGTAAAAAGAATGCACTGAATTATAAAGTATAAAACGAGCATAAACCGTCAAACAAAAATATATAATGTTTAGTTTTATGTAAGGCATTATCGTTCATGCAAATTGCATCTGACAATCACTGAGGAACCACAAAAAAACTGGAAGGCAGTAGCCAGGTGGTAATCCGGTGCTACCAATAAATGCCCAAGCTTTGCGATCCTCTACATATTAAGGCATTTTCGGCCAAATGTTGAATTATTATATTTTTTTATACAATTAAAATACCATTTCGTAACAAGAACATTCATTCAATTATTATTATTAAATAAAAATATATTCATTTACAAATTAACAGAGGAAAAAATACTTTTGACTTGACATTTAAAAGAATAACACTGCTTAAAACGAGAAACATATAAGAGAAGAAAAAATCTAAAGATATATGGCTCTGAGGAGTGTTTCGGGTTGTGCCGCGTGTTGTCCGGAACAACGTCCGACATTCCGAGAAGAAGCTCCCTGCGTTCAGAGGGAAATGACGGACATCGCGTCGAGAAGAGCGCGCGCGCGCGCTGCGACCCGAAAACTCCATCGACACGACCGCCAAAGCCTCCACACGTGGATGATATTTGTAAACTAGAACGCGCTAAACGTTCAAACGCACGCCATTAAAGGCTTATCTCAAACATCGGCATCGGCTACACACCAGACTTCCAGGTCCGCCCTGCGAGTGCTTAACATTCATGCTCAGACATCGCCCTGCCCGACGCTTTCGGCCGAATGAAACTCATACTTCACACACACACGTGCGCGTGCGCGCGCGCGGACACACGATCCATTTGGTTTGGCGCCAAGAACTCCTTTCACAACCAAACACGACAGTCGTTCCTTGCGAGCATTTTAGCTTCCGTTGTTTCGTGCAGTTTTAAAGACGAACAGCGGAAGGGGAGCAGCGGCGCAGCTTGCTGCGCTGTGAACCTGGCGACCTGCATTCTATACCGAGCCACGCGATGAACATTGGGGGAGTGAGTGACATCTAAACCAGGCCCGGACCGGTGCCCTCCCCACCCCCCCACAACCCTCTCTTCTTCACCAACACGCACTGCATTGACCAGCTTGGTGAAGTATGGTCTAAACACAGCAAGAGGAGGTCTTCATCGAGGTTAAATAAGAAAGCTAGGCACGGAGTAGGCAGAGTAAGGGTACACATGAAGCAAACAAAAGAGATCCTCATTGATACATCTGCTATTAACTCTATGTACCCTGCCATTTATGTCAATATACTTATTGCAGCCTTAATGCTATACACAAAAATAAAAGACAAACATCCCCCGTATAGCCTTAACAGACTGTGGGGGCAAGTGCCTATGAAGGCTGGCGTGGCACATGAGGAGATGAGTGGCCAACACAACGCCCGGCCGCCTTTGTTTCCCCAGTGGCGATGTTTTACACACCGCATCAGGCTCATTAAGTTGACTTAGGAGAGGCCCATGACCGTTTCAGATAATCGTCACTGGTGTTGTCCATGAGCAAGAATCGAACTCAGGGTCACCTGCGTTCGAAGCGTAGCATGCTAACCTGCTAAACTACCACTCTGCTTGCACACACACATCACTAAATGACCTTAACCAGGACATAGTATTTTAACAAGAGTAACATTAAACAGATTTAAACAATAAAAGCATTTAAGAAATTGAGGCGTAGGTGAGCTCTGGTGCAATGGAATACAATTTGAAATTGTATACAGCGTGGAAATGCGACCGCATATTTACAAGAGACTGCATAGGAACTAGGCCATTATTTATTTAATATGGAGAGAAAGAGGCAGTCGGTCACTGGCATCCGAGGTTTCCCAGAATTCTCCCTAACAGGTGCATTCAATTCAGCTCATTTCATCACTGAAAGCCGCACACCCCAATGCACATTCCACTCGGGCATTCCAGACGCAGGTGCACTGCAAGACCCGGACTGGATCCCACGCGGAGCACCAAGTCAACCGAGAGTCCTGAATTTTGCACCAGCACCTCAAGAGTTCAACTTTCAGGTTTTGTGTAAACATTTCGATTTAAGACGCTGTCTTTCTGACAGACCTGTTCTTCACCTGAGGACGGCTGCTTGCGTTGTGGCCGAAACGTCGTGAGAATAATTTAAGGATGTTTTATTTTTATTATTTTATTATTTCCATTCTATGTGACTTTACCGAAAGAACCAAGAAGATTTGTGTAAACAATTTAGTCCTCGATCCTTTATCAATCCATTCCTGGATGAAGGCCTCCCGCCCCCCCCCCCCCCCCTGCTGGGTCAGTCACGATGGCTGTTTGACCATACCTCACCGCTCTGGTCTGTGCAGGTTTATGAAGGCAGAGCCGAGGAACAGTAAGGATATCGCTCGCCAACTAATATCCGCTGTGGCCGGGAATCAAACTCGGGTTACCGCGTTTTTAGCGCAGCGTGGCAAACATCGGAACCTGCACCGTGCCGATAGGTTATAATCATAATGAAACCAGTCCAGAGTTGTCTATCGCTTTATCACTTCTGCCTATGAGTCGGTCATATGTGCTCAAATGTATTTTGACGATGACCTAAGCCAAGAGGCCCACAATGCACCTCTTCGGGAAACGCTGACGGTTTTTTTCCCGCACGTGCACAGACGCTGCGTTACTTTTCGCACGTTTTTGCGTATCATTGTTTCAAACCGGTGCGCCAAGCGCTTATGTTACCGTTGGCACCGATCAAAATAACTAACGCGTGAACAACACCCCTGTCAGCAAGCGGACGCACGAAAGCGTGCCCTGAAACTGGAATGCGCCCTCGATTCGGCACGAGGGAAAGCCGCACTGCAGAGGTCCCGTTCCAGTGCTGTTTCCTGTCACGCAGGGTCGTGCGCCGCTGTCGATTTACAGTTTCTGGTGATGGGGATAGCATTTTGCTTGGCTACAGCAGATGCCAGCAACACAATTGGGAAATAAAATGAAATGACCTTAGGTGAAACGTTTTTTTTATATGGAAACAAGTTACGCAAAAACATTACTCAGTGAACATGCATTATTAATGCGCGAAAATTAGTTTAAAAATTCCCTCTCATATTAAACAGGCAAGACAGAAACATAACCACTGCACAGTAATCTATAAGAGTAAAGAATTACGTTGTAAACAATTGGCATTTACCTCACGGACGCTGTTGTCGAATAGCGAAAGAATGGGGTCATTTGAATTAACTGCCCAACTCAATTTGTTTCCATTTCTCGTATTCACTGCAGCTGCGACACGGGACACGATAGAAACATTTTTTTCACACACATTCTTGGGACGGAATGAATAAACAGACCTGGGAAAGGCCAAACGTCGTCGCTCCTCCTCGTGGACACAGCTGGGCCAGGTGAGGCCGTGTTGGTCACTGCCAGCGGGCTCAACGGGTACAGCTCGGTCTGCACGCTGCAAGGCGACACACAAAGACAAAGATCCCCCCCCTTAAAGCCTTAACCAGACTGTTGGGGAAAGTGCTGTTAGCGAAGCACCTTTGACGGCCGGCAAGGCAAGGCGACACACATAAACGCACGTACATTCACAAAGACGCCGCTTTATACGCAGACATCTGTTTTGATAATGTGAGTACATTTGTCGCATTAACTGGGGTAGGTCAAGTCTGTCGGATGCTTCTTGGAGTCTTCTTGCCAACCGTGGGTTCAGCAACTTGACAGCAGGCTCATTATCACTTTGGCCTCTATAGAGGACGCTACGCTGCATCCGAATATTTTTGCTATCGTCAACTGGAATTAGTTGTCAATTATGTCCGCGAGATTTCTTTAGTCTTGATTTTTCCAACGTTTTTTTCTGTTTTCAATGGATTTCTCAATAGTTGTACCTCTGCATATTCGTTCTCAATATTCACGCTTTTTAAATCGCTGTTTACTTTTCTATATTTTCCAATAACCTTGGTTGTTCAACAGCGTTATACTGAAATCAGAGGGGCAATATAAAGCAAAGCATCATACTTAACGAGGCTTAAGGGTTTGAAAATATTATTTGCCTGTAGGTTTGCAGGTATAAATTGCAATGTTTCAGTAAATTTATTTTATCTTACCCAGGAAAACCGCAATGAGCCTCAAGAGGGCCGCTGCATTATACTCTATGGCTAATTTCGTATTGAGTATTACAAATTTGAATGTGGTGGTTAACTGCAATGCCCTAAATAATATGCAAAAAAACATTTCCATTATAAATTACAGACATGACCAACCAAGTAAAAATGCAGTATTTCTCGTGCAAAAAAAAGTGGCACAAAATGTGGCACATTTTTTTTTCCAATTACTTCTCCACTTAAATAACCATTCAACAATGACCTGACAAAAAAGTATCTACATATATCTGAGAAAGTTTGCGAGAGAAAATAGAAAAACGGACAAGCGTATCTTGGTAGTTATTTTTTTTTACAAAGTCTAAATATAAACTCCAGAGAATAGTGAGAGCATTATACATTATTTAATGTACCGGCAGTTTAACTCTCTACCGATGAGAAATTTGCACAATTCCCCGAGGTGTCATTCCATCATTAATATTCAAAGAGGAGCAAATCAAGCGGCAGGAATGTGTTTGTAACGAATATAAATCTCACTCGCGCACGCGCGCACACACAAGCACAGCAGAGATCCACCCCCAACCACCCCGTGCCGCACTGCAGCTGTTGTGGCCAACAATTGGCTGCAGCCAACTCACCACGAGCATTATTATTATCATCGCAGGGCTATCGACTGCGCGCCTACGGCCAAATCACACGACTACTGCTACTACCAGCACCGCCGCCACGCGCACAAGGGGCCGTCCATAAATGACGTCACGCGATTTTGGACGATTTTTGACACCCCCCCCCCTCGTCACACGGCGTCACAAAAAGTCAGACCCCCCCCCCCTCAAATATGACGTCACAAAGCTCTGCCCCCCCCCACCCAAAACCATATTTCCATTTTGAAAATAAAACATGCTTCAAATCGCTTTGAACTATTGTCATTGTAGTGCGTATTTAATGTGGCGCTGCACTCTGATGTTGTAGGAGTGTTGTTACAACAATTAGTGTTGTTATAACAATTCTGTATTTATTTAAAGTTGCGCATTTTGATGTGACGTCACATTTCTCGTCACACATCGTCACAAATGTCTGACCCCCGCCCCCCTTAGGTGCGTGACGTCATTTATGGACGGCCCCCAATCTCGGCAGGACGCCGGACGCGAAAGCTGCACCTGCAAATAGCGGCATGGATTGTCACGACCATCGAGGGGGCAGCATGCTGGGTTGGTAAAGTCGTGGGGTTGTTGTGGTTGAAAGGGTGGGGGGGGCGGAGTGGCGGCTTGCGACCTCCTCCGCGAACTGAGACAGTGAGTGACGAAATCCGTTTAGTGTCGCAAGCTCGATGATGGGTGACCACGGTGGGGTGGGTGGGATGTGGCTTGCAGGGTGTCGTAGGTGCAGGGAGCGGTGTGGGGGCTGCTAGGATGTGGCAAGGAGATTGGCATTCGAAAAACACCACCACCACCACCACAGGGGGCGTCCATAAATGACGTCACGCACCTAGGGGGGGTCAGACATTTGTGACGATGTGTGACGAGGGGGGGAGGGGGGGTGAGAAATGTGACGTCACGTCAAAATGCACAACTTTAAATAAATATAGACAACACGTTCTACTTAATTAAATAGACTTTTTAATAAATGTTTTCTCCTACAACATCACAGCGCAGCGCCACATTAAATACGCACTACAATGACAATAGTTTAAAGCGATTTGAAGCATGTTTTATTTTTTGTGGGGGGGGGGGGGGGGAGGCAGAGCTTTGTGACGTCATATTTGAGGGGGGTCTGACTTTTTGTGACGCCGTGTGACGGGTCAAAAATCGTCCCAAAATCGCGTGACGTCATTTATGGACGGCCCCCAACCCCCCTGAACCTAACCGCCTTTGTTTTGTGTTGCACCCGGCTAACCTCGTCGTCGTCGTCGTGCGGGGAGTCCATTAAGGTGATGGATGTAAATGTTTTTTCTCTCCGCATGTACAGTTGAAGTAGGTGTGCTTTACAAACACTGTAGGAGCTCGTATCGGAGCTCTCACGACGACGACGACGACGACAACAACAAAGGCAGGTTGTGGACTGAGAAGCGAACATCGGGCTAGGTAGAGGTGCACCGATGGGGCTTCTCAATTCACATGCGCCACGGTGGAGAGATGTTAACTACGTTGCCTGGTGTACAGGCAGGAGGAGGTCATGGCTTCGATCCCGACCTTTGACGCATGTATATTTGGAGTTTGCGTGTCTCTCCCCGTGGTCGCGTGGATTTTTCTCCCAAGTCCTGCCCGGGTTTTCCCTCCACATTTAGAAACACGCGTTCGGAGTTTTCGGCTGCTATACATTTCTGCGTGTTAAGGGGCTGTCCAAAAATGACGTCACGCACCTAGGGGGGGGGCAGAGCTTTGTGACGTCATATTTGGGAGGGGTCTGACTTTTTGTGACGCTGTGTGACGAAGGTGGGGGGGGGGGGGGTCAAAAATCGTCCAACTATCATTTGTGATCAGGTTGCATGTCTGGTTAGCATGGCTGACTATGTCCGGTGCTTAAAAAGTTTTACATACTTCTCAAAAAGACCTATATATCTCAGTGAGCCCTACCTGGTAAAGTAAAAAAAAAAATTGCGTATAGTCTTAATACGCTAATGGTCTGGATCTTATTCATGCAACAGAAATGCATCATCTTCATCGCCTTTTTATATCCAATGCAAATTTTCAACTAAAAGCCCAAATCACAACTTCAATTACAACTCATTTGACAATACTCCCCATTGGCAGTGGCGCGCAAAGCACAACTGACACAAAAAAAAAAATCCCATATATCGAAATGTGACTTTCTTGACATGCTGAACGTCAAGGAGCGAGTGAGCGAGTGGGGAGCGAGTGGCACAGCTCACGGAAACACACGGGGGTTGCATTCCCGGCCACGGCGAACGTCAGCGGCGAGAGATATCTGAACCGGTCTTGCCCCCCCGCCCCCCCCATAACTCCACGAAGCCTGCACGAACCAGAACGTTCAATTATTGTCTGAAAACGACCCCGTGATCTAGACGGCATAGGGAACCTGACATTTGGTATAATGCATTCAAAAAAACCTTTCCATTCCAATCAATTTTCTTACATTTATTTATTAAATATGGTGACTTTAATATCTGCAATTTAAACAGCAATATGCTACATCTGCTCACCATCTGGACTTGTGCTCACTCTAAACTAAGCCACGTCGACTCAGCTCTGCATGTAAACCACCCTCCTCTGTATCACAACCCCGCAACCTGTACGGCAGACGCCTCGTGTTCCGCTCGTCAGCAGCGTATATACCTTTTTCCACCTTTCCTTTCCGACTGTGCGGAACAATTGCATAAACATCAATCACAAAGCCTTCATGGAAACCTACGGACCTGTCTCAACTATCAGCTCCTACGCGTGCAGGATGAAATCCCTGTTTTCATGTCTCCTGCCAGGCAACTGCTCACCCACACGCCACTGCTGTCAGAAGGGCCCTCCTCTCGAGGGAGCTCTGAGAGAGCTCCCTCTGAGAGAATATTTGGCCTGCACACTGGCCGCAACGTCTTGGAAGCGTCGTGGCTGTAACCCACGCTTCACCCTGAACCACGGAGCGACCGGCCCATCGACGAAACTGCGGGCGTTCCTATTTACATCGTCGAGTGGATAGAGGCGGGGGGGGGGGGGTCTTTAACAAACTTGCAACGTCGCGTAAACTTCCGCGCCAGGAGCTGGAAGCGAGCCGGGGGCCCCCCGGATTGCAAGTCCAGCGTGCTCATCATTACACCGCGCCAGCATCTCCCATTCACCCATTTATTCTCATGAAAATGCAAGCGGTGGCAGGTGGACAAGCAGCAGCCAGACATGCAGCTGGCCAGACTTTATTGTGAGTCACTATAAAACAAAGGCGTACTAAAAAGGCAACTCGGGTCACGTTAATGCATCATGGAAGGCGAAATTCTTTCGAGTCGGGTTAATGGTTTAAAAGTGGCTGGGAGAGCAGCCAAGACGAGAAACAAGATGCAGCGCAAAGTTTGGTATTTCAAAGCAGGAAAGGGCCGGTCAGGTCTGGCTCATCTTCCAGCCTTCATCAGCTGTCTGCAAAACACTCCCATCTGCAGTACTTTACTCACGTTTAAGTATCAGGAGAGTTAAATTGGCGATATATTTTTTTTTAGGTTTTATTCGGGATAAAATTAATGTTTAGCATTTCAGCCTACAGCGTCACTCGCCGGTTCGGTGTCTCAGCGTGGCAGTGGAACGACGGCGCGAACTTTTTTTTAAATCGCCTGCGTCTGTCCACGCAGCAGTATACTAAAACTAAACTTTAGATTTTACCAGGCAAGTCTCACAGAGCTATATAGCTCTTTTTCAGA